GGGGCAGTGTGTGTATGGGGGGGCAGTGTGTGTAACGGGGGGGCAGTGTGTGTATGGGGGGGCAGTGTGTGTAATGGGGGTGCAGTGTGTGTATGGGGGGTAATGAGGGGGCTGGAGACATTTAAATAATAATTATTTTTTTTTATTTAATAAAATAAATATTCTATGTCCCCCCTCCCTTCTTACCTTTATTGAGGAGGAGGGGGGACATATTTCGTTCCCTGGTGGTCCCAGTGGTGATTCCCTGGTGGTCCCAGTGGGGAGAGTGAACTCTAGCCCGCGTTCCAGGGCTAGAGTTCACTCTCACGAGATTTGGAGCATTGCCGTGGTAACCGCGGCAACGCTCCAAATCTTGAGCGAGGAGGACCCGGAGGAGCTGCAGACTGAGCTCCGGGTCCTCTCTTTCACTCCCTCCCCCGCCGGCTGCCAGCACGATGCCTGCGGACCAGGGAGGGAGATCTCTGATCTTCCTCCCAGTCCCCACCGCACTGCGCAATACCAGCCCTCGTTAGCAGCTGAGGGGAATCTAGGGGGCAATTGCCCCGTTGCCCCCCCCCCCCCTGGATCCACCAATGTTCCACACATGGTTATTATTAAAGCTGAAATTAGTTAGATTAGATATTGCATTTCGATAGGACACTGGCTTAATGACAGAGTGCAGAGGGTAATTGTAAATTTAAAAAAATCAAATTGGACAAAAGTGGTAAGTGGCTCAGGGTTCTGTCCTGGTTCCACTTCTGTTTAACTGTTTATAAATGATCTTGAAGTGGGTATTGAAAGTAAGGTGTCAGTGTTTCCAGTGACACAAAACTAGGTAAGAAAGTATTGTCTAAACATAGTACAACTTCACTAAAAATCTGGGAAAACATTTGCTTGGGCCCCCCCAACTCCCTGGCCTGCAATCAAGCCCCCCAGCTCAACAAAGAGGCGGATGTAAAGTAGAGAGGGCTCTGGTGCATGAATTATTTTGGGCAAGGGGGGGCAAAATGTAGACCCCCACCTGTCGTGCAATGCCAACAATGCTTTGACAGCTGGGTCTCTACCATTTTCCCGTGCATGCAGTGTTGTATTTAGCACTGAGCAGTGTTTGTGTTTTTGAATTGAGTATGTTTGTGTGAATGTAGGGGTCTGTTTGTATGTGGAAATGGCATTTGAATGCAAGTATGCATTTATGTGTAGTGTTGGTTTTTAAATGCACAGGTGTGTTTATATATAATTTTGGTGTTTAACAAAGAGGTGTGTTTGTATGTAGTGTTGAAGTTTGAATGCAGGTGTGTATTTGTGTGTAATGTTGGTGTTTGAATGCTGAGATGTGTGCACATATACACATGCACTGCCACAAACAAACACACACTGTGATACACATACACACAGGTACACACACACACACACACACTGAAACTCTTGCAAAAAACACAGATATATACAATGATACAGAGGCAGCTATACAGACACATACACACTGACACACAGATGCACACACTGACACACATGCAGATACACTGACACAGATACATACACTGACAACATACAGCTACACACACTGACAACATACAGACACACAGATACATAACCTGACAAATGCAGATACAAACACTGACACATATACAGATACACACACAGAGACATACTGACACTCTGTGACAGCCATACTGACACACTGTGACAGCCATACTGAGACACACACAGGCATACATACTGATACACAGACAGACATACATACTGAAAAACACATACAGACATACTGACACACATACAGACAAACATACTGGCACACACACACACAGCCATACATACTGACACACATACAGACATACAAACTGACACACACACACAGACAAACATACTGGCACACACACACAGACATACATACTGACACACACACAGACATACATACTGACACACACAGACAGACATACTGGCAAACACACAGACAAACATACTGGCTCACACACAGACATACTAGTACACACACAGACAAAAATACTGGCACCACACAGACAGATATATTGGCAAACACACAGACAAACATACTGACACACACACAGATATACTGGCACACACACACACAATCATACTGGAACCACACAAACATTGATACTGGCACCCACACACACAGACAGACATACTGGCACACACAGACAAACATACTGGCACACACACACACACATACACACACACACACACACACACACACACACAGACATACTGGCACACACACACAGACATACTGGCACACACACACGCACAAACTTTACACTTTTAAAGACACTCTTCAGTTTCCTACCTTTGCAAGAGGCTACGTTCCCTGGGGTTCAGTGGCCTGGCTGAGTGGTTGGGCCTGGCTCTCCTTTCTCAGTCCCCCTCCTCACTGCATCCTGGCTCAGATTCCCGCGCGGCTCATCGTCTTTGAGGTGGGAGGAAGTGACTTGCGGTCGTCACTTCCTCCCATGCAGCCGTTAAGCGCTCGACCGTGCCCCCGCTGAAACATGCTCACCGGGTTGCCCTAAGTGTAAGGGCCACCCGGTGGGCCCCCTTAGCATGCGGGTCCCAATGCAGCCACAATACCAGCACCGCAGGCCCATTAGGGAATTTTTTTTTTTATGTGGGCAGCGGGGCCCATGGTGCCGCTGCTTTGGGCCCCCACAGGAATAACTGGGCCCATGGCAGCTGCCCCGTTTGCCCCTCGTTAAAGACGGCAATGGGTATCATCCCACATTGAATATGTTGTGCAATTTAGGGCACCAGTTTTAAAGAACGATATTACAGAACTAGGAAAAGTGCAGAGCTAAAAGAATAACAAGGGGGGTGGAAACCATGAGTTATGAACAAAGGTTTGAAAAACTGCATTTGTTTTCTTTAGGAAAAAAAAGCATCTCAGTGATATAATAGCACTTTACAAATATATACAGTGTCAGTACAAAACGCCAGATGCTAACCGTTTTGTTATCAGTAATATACAACAGACAATAGGCATTCATTGAGACTGGAAGAAAGCCTCTTTCACTTGCAACATAGGAAAGAGGTATTTACAGTAAAATCAATAAAGATGTAGAAACATTTAACTCAAAGAGGTAGTCTCATTAAATAGTGTGTACATTTTCCAAAAAATATGATGTTAGCAAACTAAGAAAAAGAAAGAGCTGGTGCATACCTGACTAAATTAAACCAATACAATTAAAATATAACCTTTATTTGTATTAGTAAAATCTGAATATAAGTGAAGATCAGACAAAAGAAGGTATAAAAACAAGAAACGTACTAAACTACTTGCCCTTGTGATAGTTCGTATGGCACTGTGAGATATGATCAATGTGAGGTATGGACAATGTCAGGTATGAACAATAAAACAATGTATCAAGCTCTCTGCTAATGGTATAAGTGGTACAAAGTAACTATTTATGATGATCGAGATTTGAGAGGAAGCAGCTCATGTGTAGAAAATTGTAAGTGAGGTGTTAGATTCCCTATAAGTTCTCCCTAAATAGGTTTGAAATAATCAAGACAGATATAACAGGGCTAGACCTACTGTGCTTTTGAAGTCTGAACCCCCCAACCTTACGGGGAAAGTGTACACACAGCGTATCGATCGATCAATGAGTAACATGTGCTAAAATCACATGGACTGCAATCTCAAGAAGTGTTAAGAAGTGTTCTTTCCATCATAGGGATTGTTGAAGCTTGGAATTTGATAAAGACATATAGAACACTTATGAGTATTTTTTTTTAAAATAGGCCTATATGTTTTTGTTCAATATTCAAGACTATAATTAACATGTATGTGTGTTGTTGATCCCACTGGAAATATGATTGCCATTCGAGAGTCAAGGAGGTTTTTTACCCCCCTTTATGTGACATAATTGCTCATCACTTCAAATTGGGTACTTTTGCCTTCTTTTGGATCACCAGGATAAAAAGATGTGTATCAAAGGTTGAACTTGATGGACTTAAGTCTTTTTTTAATCTGGATTACTTTGTAACTATGTACCTATATAATGAGCAAAGTCTTATGATAAGTGAACCATATATTATTTTAGTAGTTTATTGGGCAAACTTAATGGATGTATATCTCTGAGAAAACCCCACTCTTTACTAACATATGGATAAAGTTACACTGGGATTCCATTTGGAAGACCATGTCATGTTACACTTCACATAAGCATAGTTTACAAAGGGATCAAAACAAGTAATAATGCAATCTTTATTTAAAGGGAATACACGGGAAATACACATAACACATTATCCACTACATGGTCCTTTTTAAGTGGAATTTACCACTAGAAGTTTCTGCATGTATGAGTTCAGCCATTTTTGTCTCTCCATAGCAGTAAGCATTTTACTCTTCTCTCTGAATGCAGCATCATCAGCTACCACAATATTTCTCTTTTCTAACCCCTCATTGGTTGGCCACGATGGCAGCCATCTTTGGTCAGGTATCCCTTGGCTGTCTGCCAATACTTTTCTAGTTACATCATTGGAACCAAACAAGAGTTGTCTGGTAGCAGATGGAAGGATCAACTTCCTTCCTCTTTCCTCTGCTGGTTCATTGGGCAGGAAGTCAGATGACAACATTTTAAGGCTCCAGTCATGTAATGTTATAGAGGGAAGCTGTTGGCTCCAGGAATTTGATCTTGGGAGGAAGGGGTCCAACTGTTTATCATTGAGGGACTCGTCTGACAAGTCTCTTCTCCAAAATCTAAAGTGGGGTAATACATAACAGATTAATCACAAAACTAGATTAAATATTATCTATCTATCTATCTATCTATCCATCTATCCCTGCAGACCAAGGGAGCTTTCATAGGAACATCATATATAAAGAAAAAACAAAAAAAAACTTGTCCTGAAAATTTGATTCCCTCAAAAATTATGGAAAAGGTTTATCAAATTGTAGGGAGTGTGTGTGTGGGGGGGGCTAAGGGGGGAGTTCTATATCTATTTTCTTCCTTTTTGCAATGTCTATAATTTCTGACATTCTATATTGGTTAAAATATAATTCTTCTTGGTCCAATTCTAATAACCTTATCAAGCATGTATGCAGTATATATTGCAGTATTGCAAGTAGACAACATAAAAAAAAAAACATGCGAGCAGATGACATACATGACATACAAGTAGAGAACATGGAAGTAGAGAACAAACCTGTTTTGGTTTCTAATGGATGGAATTATTGCAGCAGAAGACAACACGATACAGTACCCCAGGAGGGCTGTGATTGGAAGGAAATATCTTCCAGTAGTTCTTTTTTCCATACCCTGTATGCAAAAGGGAATAATTTACATACCAATTACTTTTCTATAACCTGTTCAAATATAATGAGCATCTTCCACTAGTAATTATACCTGCGTATCTTTTTACATACTCAATGATTCAGGTTTACATTAAGCTGGCCTGGCAAAAGTTGACAATAGCCGAAAGAACATTAAAAATTCATGATCATGTTCGAGAGAGGTATCTTTCTCAAAGTAATCATTGAAACTTTTTTATTAACAAAGTAAATTGCGTCTTGATAAAATGACAATGTCATATTACAGCATGCATCTAATTTCCTCTACCTAGCTACTGCTTATATATCTATCTCTATCGATCTCTCTCTACACACATACATATATATATATATATATATATATATATACACATACATACATATATATATATATATATATATTAAAACATTTTTAATTTTTAAAACAATGTTACTGCCAGTGAAGAAGCTGAAACTGTGAAACTGTTTACATTTATGCTCCAATTTGGTTAAAATTGTTATTGACATTTTATCCAGCTTTCCTGTTTTGTCCTATTTTAGGTCAATCCTCACACATCATAAATTACTAATCGGGGAACTAATCCCATATTGTTAATATTTGATTTTATTGTATGTTAAACGGTCGTTTTATTGTGATGATCTTTTATCGCGTCTCTGTCAAAATTAATTTGTACGTTAGCTATTCCTTGTCAAATTCTCCCATTCTATAATTGTTGGCCTATATAAATAATAATAATATTAATAATGATACATTCATTTGTATGCTCAATTTTGGATTACAGATGTCCTTTATTCCTATTGTTTGACACAGTTTCTTTGTATAAAGGTGTATAACTTCATAATTCAACCAAATTAACATTTGCTCGTGAATGGAAGTGAGTATTGAAACTACTCTCTCTAAAGTTTGACCTGAATTCCTGCAGTATTAATGATATGATGGTGATAAAAAAAAATATAATAATAATTATAATATTTTGTTTTTATTTATTTTAACTTGGCACATACAAATATCAACATCTGTTTAAAAAGAGAGTATACGTACTTTACTAACTTTACCCCTTAATGAAACAAATGGAAGAAGCATGGTTTGTTCAGAAAAAAACATCCTAGATTCTCATTATTTTAATTATTTCTACAAACCATTTGTCTTTATTTAATGGAACCCTGCAGATGTTTTAGCATACTTATTTTTATAATTTCGTAACTAAAAAGTTAGCTACAATATGGTCTATTCATTAAATGCATAGCTCTACTGAGATGTCGTGAAAAAATCTGACTGTCTCAAGAAGGCTTTTTTCATAATTTGTGGCAAAATAGGTGTTCTCTTCAAATTAAGTTTTTACTTTTTTTTTGGTTTAGCAGCAGAAGCAGCAATACAGACGAGTGAATGGCTGAACTTTAATAGTCTTTTTTCAGTCTATATTACATACGAAATATTATTATGTAACTATGAGATCACCTGCATAATTTAATGTAAACAAATATATGTATATAAAAAAATACAACTAACCTGTTTGGAAGATTTTAGGACTGTTTTATAGTTAGAACTAGCAGCTCTTTAGATTGGAACATTTCATTTTAAGCCAATCTTAAAGCAATGAGTAGTAGAAACATCTCTTTTAAGCCCAATCTAAATATGTTAGAAATAATTACTGATACAAATACAATCCAACATACAATATTAGATTTATACAACACAATATTAAAATCCTGAAGGATATTAGCTTCAGCTAATTTCACTGTGATTTTAAATATCTCTCTCCATGATGGATGAATAAAAAGAGATATGCCGATAAGCAAAGCTTAAATAGAAATAAAGTGTTAGAATATTTAACAAAATAAGTTGAAAGTAAAATAAATAATACATAACTCTAGAGAATATGAATGAGAGCCAATCGATGTAATGTGGAAATAACATTTGGAAAATATTCCATAACATTCTATTCTGCGAACCCAGAATAACATTCTGATCTTGGTTTCTTTTTTTGCAGATTCTATATAAGGAACAAAGCTAATAAATCAGTTGTTCCCCTATTCAATAAATAGCTAAATAAATGGTGGTGAATTTTTCCAAACTGGCTATTGTTTAACATTGTGTTTAAATTCTCCCAAAATATACTAAAATATTGGAATACCTAATGTTTTACACTCTTTTTAGTTATGATTGTAATAAAAGGCAAGAACACAAACATATATACAAACAGAGAGAGGGACAGACAGACATACTCCGGAGACACTCTTTACTACACATCAAGTTGTTGTATCTTTAGAACCAATTGGAGGAGAATAATATCTCAAATTCACATATATATTTAAGATGATTGCATATCACAAACAAAAACGACATACTTCATGCAATTATCTTTGATGGAAACAGATTTAAATACATTTAATTTACCTGAATGTATATATCTCCTGGCGTGATGAACTGGAAGCTTTCGGATGCCAAGTAGGAGTAGCAATAAATATTTCTTCTGCCTCAGCTTCTTGTATTTATATGTAAATATGTTGGGTAAATGACGCAACAGTTATGAGTTCAGATGTACAAAATTGACTCCATCACCTCTGCTCATAGAATCCCAGGGTCCCTTCAATATCTCTTTAATTTTTTTTAAGTTGAATTGTGGTGTTGAGACATTGGGGGTAGGAGATAGGAGGACAATAGCAGAAGTCTTTATAGGCAGCATTTCTTTTTTTAAGAGATTGCTTGCCTTACAGAAGGTGTAAACCAGACACTTTAATGAATTGAATAATGGCATGCAAAAATTAGGCACGCATACTCCAGAAGCCAAGGGTGCAAGGTTGATGTCAGTATTGAAACAAGACAATCCAATAATGCTAGTTTTAATTCAAAGTCAGCAGAACGTCTTGCGTTCCCCATTTGTTTTCACTCTTCCTGTGGTTTCATGTTTCATTTTCAATATCAAACTCAAGATGTCCAGGAAGTCCTTTGACCCATCGCAACAGGGTTAAGGGTGATCTTGTTAAAAATGCACCAGCAATAAGCTAATTGTTTACAGAGACAACTGTCGATTGCTTGTTAGGGATTTGATGCTTAGAGAAAGTGTGAGTCACTGGCCTTCACAGCACAAAAAAATAGATGGCTTTAAAATAAGAAATAAAAATTATTCTCAATCTTGACTTGTCCTGTTATTAGTGAATCAAAGTTTAAAAATAATGAAGTTTTGCTTAGATTGCACAGAGTTTGTGTTGTTTTTAATTTTTAAAATTTTTTGACAAGTGTCCAATATGTATATATTTCTTACGTGAAAGCGGAATTTATGCACAATCCACATATTCTAAATGTTTTTCCTTTTCCAATAAGTACTTGATTTGCGTCACAGGCTGATTGACTGTTCTATAATTCAGTCATGTTCTGGGGTTGATTTACCTCCACCTGAAAATCTTTTCTGGGACATTTCTACTTGGTAAGACCCTTTACACTAAATTGCACTCTCGGGGTTCATTTAATCTGTTTGCACAGATAACTCCCCCCAAAAAATTATACTTGAACTTGGGAAACTGACTTTTAATTAACAGATGCACATTATCAAAGCATCACCACTTACAAAAGCAAGTAGAGGTTGCCACCCAAAATGCTCATGACATAACCACAAATATTTAGAGTTACTCCAAACACCATGACCTTTTCAGTGAAGAAGTGCTTGTGGTGCAAAGGACATGTACATGCAGCATTTCAGTATAGGGCACTGCACAAACAGAGGTATTTCATCTAAGTGCCACAGGTGTTTAAACCTCAGGCATCATAATTAGTGGACCGACTAATGTAAATTCTATGCATATATCATTCACAGAACTTCATTCATTGGCTGAGAGTGCTTAGCCAATTAATAAACTTCTGGTTCAGTAACCAGCTTCTACAACTCTGTAGAAGACAGATGCTGGTGTGGTTGGCATTACAGGAGGCTTGGTAATGGCAGGAACTAGGTGAGAGTCAATCTGTTGTAAATCAGTTTGCCACCTTCATGGGGAATGGCTTCAAGTACTCCGGGCATCATAACCAATACAGCAGGATGAAAGGGTTATTATGCTTGAAGTAACCTTTTAGCATTGGGTTAAGAAATTTACAATTATTATAAGATCAATAGAGGCATTCATTTTAATTAATGGGTTGTTTCATGTTAAACATTACACAGTAGAGCTAAAGTTTTTAACTTTTTGTGTTAAACCCAAATGCCGTACACTGTATTAGTTTTTTTACCTTACATTCAGTATTAAAATATACACATTGATCTATTCAATTATAACAACATGTACGAGAACTAATTCAGCAAAAGCACTTTCATTCAGTGTGCTGCCACAGTAATTGGTTTATT